AGGGGAAAAGAGGGGGGGGGAGGGGGGAGTAAGGGAGGGGAAAGAGTATGGTACCATGGTATGATAGTAAGTCTCCTAAACGGGTTTGGCATTGCCCAGTTCCTGCCATATTAGCAAAGCCATAGTTGGGTTGGTTTTTCTTTTTTTTTTTTTTTTTTTTTTTTTTTTTTTTTTTCCAAGCCCACTGAGGCAGAGATGAGGCAAACTCAGCCATAGGAAGGTGGTTAGTGATGTCACAAGTTTGGTCTTTTCAATAAAAGCAATAGAGAAGGGTCTCCCTCACTATATATATTAGGAGAAGCTTCTGTTCTTCATAATAAAAAGAGCAGCAAGGGAGAAAAGCACCTGCTTTTTGCACCCTTTATTTAGCACTAATCTGTTGCAGGCAGAATAAAAACTCTATAGGGCTGGACTTCTTTTGAAAAGTATTACTTTTTTGATTTATTTCACTTCTTTTTTTTTTTTTTTTTTTCTTTTTCTTAAGTATAGGACATAGTTTTGGAAGCGATTGCTGAGAAGATCAACCACTGTTGGCCAGGGTGATCTCTGAGAGGCACAGAGGGCTGTAACTCAAGGAAAAGGTGAAGTAATAAATTGTGAAGGAACTGCAGTATTCCAAGTTTATAAAGACTATTTATTTTTCCTGAGTCTGTAAGGGTTGGGATGGAAGGGTGGTTTTTTTTTCTTCTTTTTCTTCTTTTAATTATTATTTCTGGGAGAAAGGAAATTTTAAAAATATTTGATGGACGTTTTGCCTTTAACATCAGCAACACAGGCACGAGTGTGTGGGGGCTGTTTTCAGGGGATGTCACAATTACTTTTAATTAGCCGAAAGGGCAGGGTAAATCAAAGACGCCTATTAGCTATAACGTTTTAAATTTATAGCCTAACCAGGTGTTGAGGGAACGTATTTACAGCATAAAGGATTGAATGTTTTCAGCAGGATTTCTATTTCAGCTCTTGCGTTTTCGGGTCTGTTCGCCTGGGCGGTGTGAATTTTGGCTGAGGAGCTTTTCAGTGGTGGCAGCAAGTGTCGCGGGTGGCAGGAATGAGACGCAGGTAGAAAAGTTTGCTTTAGAGCCTAAACTGTCCCCGGTAAAAGCCTTCCTTGAACGCGGGGAGAGGATGGGCAGGAGCACCCAGGCGGCACCTCGGGGCTCTGCTGCGGCTTGTGAGGCTGTCGGGAAAGCGGTTGCTGTAAATCAGGCTGTCGGTGGCAGAACAACCCCCCTCGGGGGTCGCTCCGAGGCGGGGATGGGGGGGTGGTTTCAGTGGGGTGCGGAGCGGAGTCCCGCGGAGGGTGCGCGGCCGCTTAGGAGTGCGGGGGTCCCGGGGATGTTACCGGGAGGGTGCCGGTGTCCCCACGGTGGTTTTTGCTGCCCATCCTCTGCCGTCCAACAGGAGATTGGCTTCGCCAAGTGTCTCCCTTTGGGAGAGCC